CCCAGCGCCTGGCCTTCAACAACTCATTTAACATCCAAAAGCCTCAGTTTCCTCATCTGCAACAGAGATGTGCCTTCGCTGGGCATCTCTTGGGCTTGTGAAGAGTCAAATGGGGACAAACCTGGAAGAATTCTGCAGAGCTCGTGTAAATAAAACTTGCTTTATTCGCGGAGAGCCTACGCATGGCCAACCCAGCGGTGAGCGCTCCAGGACAGTACGAAAGGAGAATAAAGATGGAAAACAAGATGAGAACAGCAGGCTCGGAAGGGTCAGAAACGGAGGCAGCGGCATGGAAGCGGCACGATGAGGCAGAACCGAGGCCCCCACAGCTCCGTGCAACGATGTGACCTCAAAGAGAGGTGCCCAGGTGAGGCTGAGCACAGAGAGGTCCCCTCCCAATCTCCAAGGACAGAACTCAGTCACCTGGCCTCGGCACAACCCATACTTTCAAAGTTTTGAGAACCTGGTCATTTATCTCTGAAATGACATTCGGTGTCATTTTCCATCAACAATGAAACCGACCCCTGAAATCAGCTAAGTGTGGTGAACGCCACGTCGTCACAGACTACAAGAGAGTGTGACTGGCCAATTGAGGATCCTCAGAACAAACTTCAACCACAGTGCCCACTGACGCTCTTCTTACTGCTTGTCTTTAATAAAAAAATAAAAATAAATAAAAAGTTATTATGAGAACTCTGCAAGTCCCAAGAAAGATGTAAGAAATCTCAAGAGAAATCTCATTTAGTTTGCTGAGAATTACCTGATGCTGTTGCTAGGTGGTGCTTATAAATACAAGCACATACCCTAAGATTGCCTTTTTGCGTTAATTAGTGGCCACATCAAGCATCACTGGAGAACTTGAATAAAACAGACTGAGTCCGTGTCAGATCAGATAGCAGGGCCTACCGATGTAGTGTGAAGACGTGTCTGCAGCTGCGTGCTAATACGATGCATCGCCAACTGTATGGGCACACACATCACCCGGGACCTGGTGAATGTGCAGATTCTGAGGCACTGGCCTGCGATTCTGCATCTCTCACCATCTTCCAAATGATACACATGCCCAGTCACACACCAGGTGCCAGACAGGTCAGCCGTCAACAGCAAGAGCCAGTCCTAATGCTATGCTCACTGGAAGTCCAGTGACTATAAGAAAAAAGTTGAGAAAATGTTTTGAAGGTTCATGATTTTGGCAAGAGGCATCTCTCACTCAGCTAACCAAACCCTGCCTGACCAGCTGCAGGTGCTGGCTCGGATGGTCTGAGGGGTGGGCGGATGGCAGGGAAATCTCTTTGGCACCAACTGAATGGTAGAAATCAACCTTATAACAGACCCAACTGCTCAGAGAGAAGAATTTACGTCCTGGAGCTATAGGATAAAAGACGAGAGGAAGCAATAAAAACAAGGAGTGGTAATTTATTGAGAGCTTACATACGATCACAGTCAGGGGTAAAACGGGGATATGAACCCAAAGTCTGATTCTAGAGTCCACACTCTCACACATGGGACCCTGAGCAAATTCTCTTTTTGTGTGGGTCTCTCACTTGTTGTTCCTTCATCTTTAATATGGGCTCATGATGGTTCATATACCTCATTGGGTTTTCTGAGGATTAATGAAGTCTGAATAAGGCATTTAAACCAGTGTCTGACACATAATAAATGCTTCAGTGAGTGTTTTTTCAATTATTATAATTAAGAAGATATTACTGAATTATTTGAAAGGCAAGGTGCCATGAACTATGAATTAATTTGATTTACAAATAACTTTCCTGATATGTACCAAATATGTGGGATAAGACACACATACACCCAATGACTCTCCTTCACTAACACCTGGTATCAATAACTCACATCACGGGAATCCCGAAGGTCTAGTCATCCTCAGGGTGCAGATCTAGGATCCTTCAGGCATGACCCTGGCAAGATCCCCCTGAGAAGATGGAATGGAATGAAGCCAAACCACCTGGGGTCTAACTCTGCTCTGTCACTTCCCAGCTGTGTGACATTGCCCAAGGAACCTAATGTTTCTGGGCCTCAGTTCCCTCGACTGCAAAATGGAAATAAAAGTTCCCACCTCGAGTAGTTGGGCATATTAAATGCTAATGCTTATACAATGCTTAGACCAGTGCTAATATTTAGTGAGGACATACTAATATTATGATAAATTGGTGACAGTGTAGCTAAAGATGAACACTAATAATAATAATAAAACAGATGAATTAATTGGTTCTGTGGACATCAACCATTTTCCTAACGCACATATCTGCCTAACAACAGCAACGTGAGCTATAGACTGCGGTTGGGTTTAGAAAGTTCTGAATCAAAAGCTTTCTACAGTACTCATAATCACCACAGCCAAACCCATTCCATACCAAGAGTGGCAAAGTCTACAGGAAGAGCTGCTTATCAGTAGGATGTATTTATAAAATGGGGGCTGGGTAGAAAGGTTAGCAAAGACAGCTTAATAATAGTCCTATAAGCAAACAAGTTTGCATACATCAGTAGTTCATTAAAAACTCAATACTTTCCCATCATTACCGTGAGAAATATTCAAGAAATGTAACATGTAGTTTGGGAGCATGTAGCCTCTTGTCATTAAGAGTTAGCCACATACTTGCTCCTTTTATCTTTTCTAGATTCTAACACAGAAAGTATTGAGGTCATTCTATGAGATTGTACTTAAGGGTCCAAAAGGGCACAGGCATTCTGTATAAAGTCCCCACGTGCTAACCACAGGTATGTAACCTAATCGGTATCCAATGCCCGGGGCACCAAGATACTGGAACACCCATAATCGTTATCAGGTCAGTAGGAAATTTTACCTGGATGAAAGCAATCCCGACCAAGTCCTAAAGTCAAGGCAATTGGACACCAAAATCATTTTAATTTGCTCTTCCTTTTAAATGCTAAACAAACATAACAGGATGTGAATTTACACTTCTCTCCCAATCCCAAGAGAGACAAAAAATAAAAAAGACACAAATCTCAAGGGTGTGAAGATCTCACTCCATAGTTTTCCTGTGTGCCTGTTAGCATTTTTCTGGTGGTACATTATCAAGTAGGCTGGCAGAGGCTCAGGAAACCCAGAGTGATAAACTGTAACCCTTTCTTTACTGGGGAGCAGTACTGTCCAGTAGAAACAGAAGCCACAAATGTGAGCCACGTGTGTAATTTTTTAGAAGCCACATTTAAGAAAGTAAAAATAAATAGGTGGTTAATTTTAGTGATACATTTTATTTAACCCATCTCCAAAATACTATCATTTCAACATGCAATAAGTATTCAAAACTATTAATGGGATAGTATACAAGCACACACCTTGTGTACTTTGCATTCATAGAATATCACAATTCAGACCAGCCACATGTCAAGGGCTCAAGGGCCACGTGTGGCTACTGGCTACCATATTGGATAGAGCAGCTGTCAAATTCAAAGACTGCAGAAATCATCAGTTTCTTAGGTTGCCTCTATGATGGATATACAGGTAAAATAGATCAACCAACTCAGCCTGGGCAAGTCGATAGATGGGGAACATGGTAATACCTTGAATGGGGGAACAAACCTAACTTCAAAATAGGCTCTGGGTATTTATAGCTTTTAAGTTAATGTTCAGGACCAAGCACTGACAATGCTAGTTCCTTTTTACCCAATGTATAAGCATTTGTTGTTTTCATCATCACTTTAAGAGCCCAAGAAATGCTGGTCGCTGGACAAACCTCTTCTCAGGAAAGAGTGAATCCCTTCCCTCTCCCAAAGGAGCAGTAAATGGTCAGACATAGCCCACTGACACATTCCATACACCCCATCCCACGTGGTCTATGTCTAGCGCAGGCATGAGAAATGAGATGCAGAGGCGATCATTACGCCCCCACCGTGGGTGAGACAGTTTGAAAGATGACCTCATCTTACCAGTGTTACCTACCTCACAGGCTTACTGTGATGACCAAGGGCAATAACAGAGAGAGAGCTCTTAGCAAACTGTAAAGTGCTATACAATTCTAGTTATTAGTATTGAGAAAGGACAGCATTCCTCACCTGGAAGAGCAGATAGAAGAAAGAAAAAAAAAGTAGTAATGAAACAGAGATGCTGAACTGGGGGCTGGGGGTACTGGGGGGGGGGGGCACTAGGGACCCATAAAAATATTGGTTGTTCTTGTTGTTCTTGGTGGACTTCGTTCTCTTAGAAGAGTATAAAGAGGCCTGAAATACCTCTATCCCCTTTTTCTCGAAATCTTGGGAAGGCATAAAAAGTAAGCGCGACAGCTCATAGTACAAGCTCCTACCCCTGCTCAGTCACCCATTACCACCCCATCCCTCCGCTTCCCCGCATCCCAAATACAGTGTAACTCAGGTCAGTGGTTCAGAACAGCCTTCTTCTTCCCAGGGTTTCACTGTGGCCTACACATGCAGCGCCCCCGGGGTACCGGCGCCTTCCGGAGCAAAAGTTACCGACTCCGGGGAGTCTGGCTCAAGGTTTCTCGCCGACACGCGAGCCGCGGCGTGGGCTCCGGCGCTGCTCTCTGGCCTTTTCCAACAAACAGACGCTCGGCGAGCGGCCGGAGTCTCCCTATACCTGTCCGACGGCCCCGTCCAGCCTGCGACTGCTCTGGGCAGGCGGCATTTCCAAGGTCCAAGGAGAGTCACCCACACAAAGGCGCCTTGTGCCTCGCGCTCCAGGACCGGCAGCCGGGACACCGGTCACCGCACCCCGGCAGCACAGAGAGGGCGCCCCTCCACTCCTGACACCGACACCCCCAACACTCACCCTCCAGAGAAAGGCCATCCCTACTCCCTGGTTTAAAGATGGGGCTCCCCTTGGCTTGCCACAACCCGCACCCCCACTCGAGAGGTAGGGCGAGCAGGCCACTCTGAAGAAGTTTGCATGGTCACCACGCGGCGCTCTCACGCTTCTCGCCTGCAGGAGGGACTGAGCATCCGCTGCAGCAGCTGCCCGCCCGCCCCACCTCCAGGGCTGGAGACGCGGCCCCCACGCAGCTCACCTCTGGTCCAGTCCACCACTTGTTTGGGGCTCCACTTGGTCACGGGTTCCATGGTAAAAGGCGTCGCTCCCAGCTGGGCTACAGTCGGTGGTAAAGTCCTGCTGCCCGTGTCCACTGTCCTGCCCAGGAAGGCGCGCCCGGCGGCTGTCCACGCGCCGGTCAAAGCTGCATGGCCGCGGTCAGCGGGTCAGCCCAGCGGGCTCAGCCTGGCAGCGCGGCCCCTCCGGGGCGCGGGACAGCCGTGCGGCGGCTCCTGTAGCTGCCACCGGCCAGCGGCCGCTCCTCCTCCTCCCACCCCGCAGGGAGCCCGACACAACTGCGCTCCCGGGCTACTGCAGCTGCGAAGACGCGGGGCTGCGACCCCACAACCTGGCCTCTGCTGGGCGCAGGATCCTCCTGGCCGGCCGCTCCCCGCTCCTCTGCGCTACGGCCGGGCCACTTCCTCCGCTTCTCCGCCGCGCGCTCCGCCGGCTCCGGCTCCTCCTCTCCGCGGCGTGCTCTCCGGGGTCCCAGCTCCCGTGCGCGCGTCCCCAGCCTTCCCGCCGCAGTCCCACCTCCTGCACCTCCCTCTTGGCGCTGGGCTGGGAGTAGAGCGGAGCCAGCGCGCTCGGGTTACAAAGTTTCAGCTCTGGTGGCTGCTCACGGAATAAAAGAGGAGGTGGGGCCGAGGCCCAGCGAAACTCGTGGGAGGGGGCGGGTCCGCCCGAACAGGCGACTCCGGTTACTTTCCCTCTCTAAGCCCTTTGCGCACACACCCGGAGCGTCCCGGCAGGACTTTCCTTTTCAGGGGGCGGGCTCTAGGCCGTGTGTGCACCCGGAGAGCCCGCTGGCCTGGGTGAGGCCGGGTCCTGGGCAGCAGAACAGTCTGTCTCAGTGCGAGCAACGATATACTCCAAAATAAAAGGAGGAGGATCTGCGTGCCCTGTTCACGTTATATTGCTCTGCAATGAGGCCTTCCTTAGCTTAAATTTCTTATGGTAAAATTGTTTTCCTTTATATTTTAGATGACATAATAACAATTTAAAGTCACTTCTCTTCGAATGCTACTGCGATAACTTCGCCACCAAAATGAACCATAACACGATGGTTATATATTGCCGTATTATAGTATCATATTCGCACAGTGGGCCAAAGCACAGTTGGATTAGTCATCCATCGTGAAGGAAAGTTGTCATCACTACCCACCCCCACCCTAATTTCCGCGAGGGACGCGAGGAGGAGGGCCCTTCCACATTCGTGGGTCTCAGTCTGGGGCCAGAGCTACCCCTGATCTAAGGGAAAATCCCAAATTGGAATATTTACCTTTCCTCCTTCAAGCCCCTCCCCCCGCCCCAAATCTCCTCTGCAGTCCCAGTGAGCTCTACGTCCCACTCATAGATTCTTTTGGCACTTACTGATTCTTACATTCAACTCTGGCGACTCTATTTACATCCTCCCCTTGGAGACTGTTAACCCCTTGAGGGCAGCCCCTACCAGATAGAGAGCCTTCTCTCCTGTCCGATTTCCTACCAACCAGCTGGTAGCACCTAGTGCAGACCCAAAGGTGTGGTTGGGACTTACTCATTCTGTAAGTATCTGTGAATGCCTCCTGTGCGCCCACCACTGCACTCATTAAATATTTGTTGAATTAGTGTGATGGGCACTGTTTGTACAGGTCTGTTTGGATGCGCATGTTGAAAAGATGGCTAGCAGCAAGCCCAAGCATCCGTTGTATGGTGTGATGAGCTAGAATAAACAGGAAGAAGAAACATTTTAAAAAGTAAAACAGCCCTGGCCGGTTTGGCTCAGCGGTTAGAGCGTCGGCCTGCGGTCCTGAGAGACCCGGGTTCGGTTCCCGCTAAGGGCGCGTACCTTGGTTGCAGTTTGTCCCCGGCCCTGGTCGGTTGTGCGGGTGGCAGCCACTCCATGTGTTCCTTTCACATCGATGTTTCTCTCTCTCTCTCTCTGTTCCTCTCTCTCCCTCCCACTCTACCTGAACAAAGAATGGAAAAATGTCCTCGAGTGAGGATAAAAAATAAAAAAATAAAAAATAAATAAAAAGTAAGACAATATCCATGACACTTATCCATGACACTTATCTATAGTGCTGAGGAACCACAACAACACAGATATGCAGCTTTCAAATACAATGATTTTTTTTTTTTAAAGCAAGAGTTATTGGCAGACCAGGAAACTTTGCATAGGCAATAATAAAATTCCTGGTACAGTAGGTGTCCTTTAAAAAAAAAAAATGACCTTTTAAACTTAATAACATCAATTGTTAATCATCTTTATGACAGTAAGTAGGAGAAGGACCTTGACATTTGTCATTGGGTCTCCTGGAAAAAGTAACAAATTTTACTCACATCTTTAGTTACAGCAGTCACTATATATATTTTCAATTATGATGAAAGTGACCACATAATTTATCTCCAAACCAAGATATTCCTGAATATGAAATAGGGTCTATCGATACTCACACTGGAATAACATGAATAAATTGAGTCATATGGTCCCTGTAATTATAAAGAGAGGTCAAGTGTTAATGATTTTGCTGTAGAATTTTACTTGATGTTTTCACAATGTTTTCAAATGCAATTGAATTAGTCATTACTGAAGAGGTAAAAGCTAACATTCTGGGAGTCAGGCAAGAGTTTGCAAAAATGTATCCCACTGAGTTAATACACTATCTGTACTCAGTACATAAATAAATCATAGCTAAAGAGGAAGGCCATGCTAAGATCTCTAAATGGAACACCAATTAGCTATCTAAATGAATTAGCGTTCTGTTTACACTTCAAGTTCTGAAGGCTAATTACTATTTAAATAAGACCTTCTACCTTAATTACAGCTGTTAGCATGTGAAAGTTTTAGGGAGGCCTGCCTTCCTGTCTGAAGACATCATCCAAAGTCACTGATGGCATATACTAAAGGCAGAATCTCAGGGAAATAAATAGCTTTGGAAATTAAAGTGGATACACAATGATCAGTTTAGCTTACTGAGTTTTCTTCTCTGCTAGCTGTAATCTGTAGCAGTGCTGTTACACTGTTCATGCCATCTTCTTCAGAAGCCGACCTCCTCACTGGCACCCTGATGTATACCACAGTTCCTGACACTCACCAGGAGCTGAATAAACCTGTTCTTAAGTTGAACTGACCGTGGAGAAGAAGTGATACTAGAGCCCCAGGTCTCCCAGATTTCTCTTTGCAGCTCCCTGCTGTTTCTGACATTGGGTCTCCTTACTATTTAGATCATTTTTACTCAATAAAATGTTTGTTCAGTACTTGTAAGACACTAAACTAAGCACAAGGAGGGTTCAGGACACATGCAAGTATTTCTTAGAGATCAAAGTGGCATGTGATTTTGTCAGGGGAATTTTCTTCTGCAGTTTTCAGAGAGAGGAAATACCCTGGGAGACCCTGACAAGAGAATTTTAAGGGTGATGTGATATTCTCATCCTGAGCCAGCCCATACTTTATTATTTCATTTATTTGAAAACTAGGAATAGGGCATTTTAGATTAGTGGTTATGATTAGAATTTATCTGATAAACACAGGAGGAGCAAAATATGCAAACTTTGAGACAAAGTATTAATCTGTAAAAAAAACAAAACAAAAAAAACAACCCAGTCTCCTTCCCAGTCCAAAATGAAAGAAAAAATGAGTAAGTAAAGCTAGCTGCTCCAAATATTAAACTTTATCTCACAACCTAAGATTATCTTTTTCTTCTCATCACATTGTTTTTATTGTTTGTTTGTTGGGTTGGTTTTTTTTTACTATTTTTAGAACATTCAAAATGACTTAATATGCCCTGGCCAGTTTGGCTCAGCTGTTAGAGCGTCAGCCTGCGGTCCAGAAAGACCCGGGTTCAGTTCCCGCTAAGGGCACGTACCTTGGTTGTGGTTTGTCCCCTGCCTTGGTTGGTGGTGTGGGTGGCAGCCACTCGATGTGTCCCTTTCACATCGATGTTTCTCTCTCTCTCTCTTTCTTCCTCTCTCTCCTCCCACTCTATCTGAACAACAACAACAACAAAAAATGGAAAAATGTCCTCGGGTGAGGATAAAAAAAAAAAAACGAGTTAATATTGTCTTCACATAAAATCGTCTCATGTATGTCCCTTATGTTATGTTATCTTTTATCTTGAGAGAAACTGTTCTTATCAATGATGTCCCTCACTGCAAAGTCATTGGTTAACTAAATTATCCAGGCTGCTGATGATCCTGTCTGTCATTTAACTCCATTTGGTCTGAATTCTTCACACCAGGGTAATGTAGTTTTCTTCCTAAATAGCCAGGTTTCCTACCAGATAATTCTGGTAGTAAGTCCTCAATTTTTGTTTGTCTTTTCTGTTTTCTTAAGTCTCACAAGAGCTGCCTTCCTTATTTGAATTCTTTTGATCATTCAGTCACTTTAATGCAGTCATTCTACAGATGGAAATCTGGTATTTGGCTTTTTTTTTTACTGAGCCCCATCTGTAACTCAGAGTTCAATGTCAAGTGAATAAACATTCGAAAACCTCACCTACTTAAAGTCAGACTTAGAGAAGTTGATTAAATTTTGCAGCACGAAAGAGCAACATTGACACCGGTAAATCTGTTGTCCAGAATTGGTCACTGTACTTTTGAAGAGTCATCACACGAGGCCATTACTGAGCTCCCTTCCTGCAAGCGCTCAAACAGCCAACAAAGGTGCATGTTAGGGACGAAGGAAGAACAATCAATCCGCCGTTTCCCCCACAGATTTATGATACCTTTCGTTCCAGCTATCAAGTTGCAGAGTGTCCAAAAAGAACAGAATACCATCACACCAGTTGCTCTTGTCCATTTAACTTCATGGGACTCAGAGTCTCCAAACAAGTACACGTGATGCCAAGAGTTGCAGACTCAGTGATTTTTGTTTCAGACCTAAGTTCCATGCTGATAAGAACAGACAGGAAAAAAAAAAAAAAAAAAAGATTGATGGGAGTCATTCTGAACCTCAAAATAAAGCCGTAATCTGATTAGGACAATAAACTTGTAGCATGAGAAATGAAACACAGATTGAGTATCACAAGCACACAAAGCTCAAATTTTACTAAATTCTTTCAAGTATTAAACAAGAAGAACATATAAATAATTGTTTATTTACTTTTTTAAAATTTGAGTTTGGCATAACAGAAATATTTTATAATGC